TCTCCTGAAGGGCTCATCAAGGTTTTGTGAGGTTCAACAGTTGGCCGAGGTACTCGTCGAAGTAACAAATCTGGCCGTGTGCCAGCGCCTGCGGGCTGCCGAGTCCCGGCTGCAGGGGCCTCCGCGACGCGCGTTCTGTATATGTAATCGGAAGGCCTAGATGCATCGTCGCGCGAACTTTCTGAAGTAGGCGGAGAGCAGGCGCTGGAAGGGGTCGTGCACGTACAGGAAGGTCAGGTAGTTAAGCAGGCGCCGGTGGATATTAGAGGGGCGGAAGTCAGCCAGCGAGGGCAGGCGGCCCGGCGCGTGCGCCTCGCGCGCGGGGATGGCGCGGGGGTCGTCGCGGGTGTCCCCGTGGGCGCGGGCCCGCAGCGCCAGCAGCACGCGCTTCCAGTTGGTGCAGGCCACCTTGGGCACGTAGCAGTACAGCAGCCCGTGTGCGTCGTCCACCAGCACGTGCCGCAGCTCCTCGGGGCGCAGCGCGCGCGGCCGGCGCGAGTGGCGGCTGCAGGCCTGGCGCAGCAGGTCGCGCCGCTGCCGGTGCACCTCGGCCAGCGCGGAGCGCGGGGCCTGCGGACGACAGCGGGCGGGGAGGGGGCGTGAGCGGCGCGGGGCCTGCGGACCACAGCGGGGAGGGGGCGTGAGCGGCGCGGGGCCTGCGGAGGACAGCGGGCGGGGAGGGGGCGTGAGCGGCGCGGGGCCTGCGGACCACAGCGGGCGGGGAGGGGGCGTGAGCGGCGCGGGGCCTGCGGACCACAGCGGGGGGGGGGCGTGAGCGGCGCGGGGCCTGCGGACCACAGCGGGGGGGGGCGTGAGCGGCGCGGGGCCTGCGGACCACAGGGGGGGGCGGGGCGTGAGCGGCGCGGGGTGCTGCGGAGGACAGCTGTGGGGGGCCCACTTCCCCCGCCGCCACCCGCATCCGAACCCCAGAACCGCCGCCAGCCGCCGCGTGCTTGGGGACTCAGGGTCTGCGCTGGACTCGGACTTGGGGAAATGGCGACTGTGCTGAGGGCCGCGGTGCCAGCGCCCAGCAAGGGCGCTGCCGGGCAGGCTGGCCCGGGCCTCGCAAGTACGACTGGCCGGCCCTGCTGGTTCCTTTGGGCTGTGCCTCACCTTTCCCCCCAAATTATAGTTGGTGGTGGGAATCCGGCCCTCCCCTGGGCGGGGTGTCCTCCCCTGGCCGGGGTGTCCTCCCCTGGGCGGGGTGTCCTCCCCTGGCCGGGGTGTCCTCCCCTTGGCGGGGTGTCCTCCCCTGGGCGGGGTGCCCTCCCCTGGGCGGGGTGTCCCCTCCTGGCTGGGGTGTTCTCCCCTGGGCGGGGTGTCCTCCCCTGGCTGGGGTGTCCTCCCCTGGGGGTGCCCTCCCCTGGGCGGGGTGTCCTCCCCTGGGGGTGTCCTCCCCTGGGTGGGGTGTCCTCCCCTGGGGGTGTCCTCCCCTGGGCGGGGTGTCCTCCCCTGGGCGGGGTAGCCTCCCCTGGGCGGGGTGTCCTCCCCTGGGGGTGTCCTCCCCTGGGCGGGGTGTCCTCCCCTGGGCAGGGTGCCCTCCCCTGGGCGGGGTGCCCTCCCCTGGCTGGGGTGCCCTCCCCTGGGCGGGGTGTCCTCCCCTGGGTGGGGTGCCCTCCCCTGGCTGGGGTGTCCTCCCCTGGGCGGGGTGCCCTCCCCTGGGCGGGGTGTCCTCCCCTGGCTGGGGTGCCCTCCCCTGGGGGTGTCCTCCCCTGGGCGGGGTGCCCTCCCCTGGCTGGGGTGTCCTCCCCTGGGTGGGGTGTCCTCCCCTGGGCGTGGTGTCCTCCCCTGGGTGGAGTGTCC